GATTTAATGTTCATCTTATATTTAGTGGACTTTGATAGAAAAAGTTATATTCTCTGTGGGCCAGTCAATATTTTTAATAGCTATGAAGCTAAAAAACTTTAGATTAAGATTTCAAGAGGCTCAGAGGAAAATTGAATGAAGGAAGAGAGCATCTGAGTGCTGCTGTAACAGAAAATGCCACAGAGAATAAAGTACTGGGAAAACCCAGAGGAGAGCAGACGAAGATCTATGCTGTTGGACCAGTGGGGTTAGTAAAGGTATAAATGAAGAGGAGACAAGCATTACTTCCTTACTGTCTTATGAAGAAACTGAAGATAAAAAGCTCTGCCCTGCCTGCAGCATTTTTTGAAAATACATGTTTAGTTTCAATGTTCATTTTATTCTGGTGTTCAGTTTCATTTTATTTGGATTGCTACCTTCGAAGTTCAAGGTATTCGCCAACTTTAAAGCCAGATTGGAAAAACTGAATCTGGATTCTCGGTGCAGCTCCAAGGCTTGCAAATCAACCTTCTCTCATAAATACTGCACTGTTTCTGGAAAAGAAGAGATGGGCCTTTAAATGAAATACGAGATGCAGCGTTGGGATGTAATAGCAGTGCTGTACATCACCAGCCATCAATCAGTGTTACTTAATTCATCCCTGGCTCAGCTGTTCGCTGCACTTGGGACTTTTTTACTGTTTGTTTCATTTTATTTTCCTCAGAGATAAATGAAGACAAAAAGAAGCGACCGATTGCTCTTGACAAATAGAAATAATTCTTTAAAATATAACCACAGAGGATATTCTACGTTTTCAAACCACTTTTTATTTTGACTTTTGCAGCACTTTCCCAGAATCATACTTAATTTATTTCACCATGTATATGTTGGACATCCTTATGTTTCATTTTTTGTTACTCTTATCAACTTCACGTGCCTTCTTTAAATGTGATAAGAAAATTCTGTTGGAAGAAATGCTTTTTCAGTGAAATACTATTAAAGTATTATTCCTCACCTGGGCGTGCAGGTAACAGATTGCTTCATTTATCCTGAGTGTTCTTGGGGCACGAGGCCTTTGTTGCTCTAATTGTGTAAGGAAGCATATGTTGCAGTATTTGGCATGCTGAACAGGGATGAGGTGGGTGGCTAAATGTAAGCAAGCCAACCTGAGTTCTTTGGAGAGCAGCTGGTAGATGTGTCAGCTTACTTTCCTCTTTCTCTTCAGAAGTAATGTATGTTAAGGAATACCCGAAATATGCATGTCATAGTGAATATAAATACACTGTTAAGTCACTGGGGAATGTCACTCCCCATACAGTGTCAGCAGCTTTAAAAATTCCACTGTGCAAAAAGATGAGAATCTGCATGGGGGACACTGCAGCATGGAGAGGCTTCCCCTGTCCTTAGGAAACAGCCTCACAGTGAGATCGGGGCAGTGGGGTTAAGAAGACAAAGATGTGAAGTGGCTTTTTCTGCCTACCATTGTTTACCATGATTTAACTGAGGAGGCCCAGAGATGACTGCCCCAGAATTTCCTAGCTTGCTGGAGGAATTTTCCTGATGAGATACTGCAGGATACCTGAAATTTGCTTCTGAAGCCTGCCAGTTTCCTTTTGGCAGAAAATGCGGGTAGAGTATCTGCCATCTCCCAGTCCTGTCTGACTGGCAGTGCTTGGACAGGGCTTAAGCTCTAGAAGGGACGCTGACATTTCAGTGGTCTTGAGTCTGGCATAACAACTAAAAGGGACAAATGTTCAAAGGGCCGGCTTCCAATTTTACACTGGTGGTTGAGTACAAGTACAGAATTATGGGCAGAAAATCACAGGCAATATTTTTCCTAGCTGACCTTCCTGAAAGGGAGCCAGCAATTATCTGGATGTGCACTATTTCAGCAGTGTTTTTAGGTGTTGTTAACACAATGTTTTCATTGTATTTCTGATGGATTATTGATTATCAATTACATAAGAGAAAGAAATTTAGTATTTTAATGAGTAATAGCTTTTGGCACCTGGGCTTTGCACAAGTGTGCGTGCATATTTGTGTAGGTACTGATAGAGCAGAATGTCTGTATTTGTGTGTTGCTGTTGATGTCACCAGCAGACAGGTAATGTCAGCTGTGTAGGTACCTCACCGCTCCCGTGCGCAATCAATTTTCAGTTTGCAGAATGCTTTTTTTCAAGCACCCGGCGGGTTGTTCAGTTCTCTTCTGTCTGTGTTGAGAACTCATATGCCCTACATTTCACCACAGGTTTCTGAGTATTTTGTTCAGAGTTTAAGTGCCTCTGGAGGCTCGGAGCCTACTGGATGCTGAAAGCACTGCATGCTGATTGCAGAACCTGGGTGAAATTTGAGCCACCCCGTCCTAGCCGACTTCATATCCTAAATGCATGCTCCAGCCTTTCCTTTGTAAACATATTTCATCAGCTATAACTAAACTAAACCTGTGCTGCTAGCCTAGCGGCACAGCTTTGGTACTTTGACCCACTTTTCCTCTGGGAGCACTGAAGGAGCAATCCTGAGCTTCCAAAAATAAAGTTTGGTAGATCAAGAAGAGCTTACTTCCTTATTTATTCCTGTTTTGTTCTCTAGCCAAGCTCCCAGTGACTCTGGTGGAGGTCAGCTTATGAGAGCTTAGCGCCGAAGCCAGCCTTTCAGATTTTGTAAGATGTGGATGTAACTGTAGTAATGTTTACTGTAGCACTTAAAACTCATGCTGATATACCTTAAAGTTCAGAAATCTAAAGCAACTTAAGAAACCTGTGTACTCAGTTGCTGTTAAAATCAACCCCCTACCCAGTTTTGGAAAACTGAGATGCTGTGATTCAAAGCATAGAAGGGAAAGTCATCAGGGCACTCTATCAATTAAGGAGCCTGGTGTGTTTATCCAATCCTTAAAAGCCCATCTTTGGAAATTGAAGTGGTTCCCTTGTTTGTACTGAACAGCCCCTCCTTCACTGCGCAGTGTGGTGGTGTGGGTGTTACTGAGGCTGAGCAGACAGGCCTCTGGTTACAGCTTTTCTAACTTTCCCTTGGTAACTTTACTATGAAGAGCTGAAACCTCTAAATTTGCTTTTATTCATACTAATTAAAGAAAAATGCCATTTAGTTGTTCAGTTTGTTTCCATCCCATTTTTGTTCAGCAGCAGGATAGCCTTCACAGGGAGGGTAGATTAGTTCTATGCTGAAATGTTAGGGTTCCTACTTACATTTATTGTCACTACATGTGACAAGCCTGCATTCATTGTATGATCTCAAGGGTAAGGTAAGAAAGATCCTGGTTTTTTACCTCTTCTCTGTTTCCAGCTTATACTGTGTAGCCGTGCTGTCCTTGTCAGTTGTGTTTCTTTCCATGTCAGTGTCACTTCCAGGTGACAGGAGACTTGTGTCTGTAAGTGGTATCGAAGCTGTTTGTGTATGGTAGCAATTTCTGTACCTACCCCAGAAGGTACTAGGAAGACCTGCCAACTGAAGTGTCATCTGTTGTTAACCCAGGCAGATTCTTATCCGCTGTCTTCCTGCATTCATCGTGTAAGATGTCACCAAAGGGAACCCAGCAAACCCAGTGTATAGGCTGTTGTTTCTGCCAGCTCAACAACTTGAATCCCACTGTGCTTGAATGATGAGAAGAATCACATTGTTGGTGCTTTCATATTGAGAACCTGACCCTTCCTGGAAGTGTTTATCTTCTTAAAACAACGTTAATTTGTAATTAGAAACAGAACAAGACATCGACCTGTCTTCAACAATATTTCTTTTGGTCATGGCAATGACTTCTAGTGGGTTTGAGTGGCTTAGTTCTTGACTGCGTGTAACAGCCTGTTCCCTAGCATACATGCAGAGCACTTCATATTATTCATCCCCTATATGATATCTTAACTTATTAATCACAAGTGGAGACATCCAAAAATTCCTGATCACTATTGAAACTCATGGCCCCATTTAGCTTTCATAACAGCTTGTTTCTAACAAAATTTGATGTAGAGCCAAATGAAGTGTGTGTTTAAATGATCCCTCGCCTAAACTATCATGAAAATTTCAGATGGGATGAGAAGGAGGAATGCCGCAGAGGGCAGCTTGTTGGAAGCTTGCTACTAGTTTGAGACAAAAATAGTGTAATCAGCAAACTCTCAGTCACTTTAATGCTTCTTCAGTGAAATCCAACTTGTTGTTGTTGCCTTAACTGTTCTCTTGCATTTTCTTTAATAGCTCATATAAAAATACTAGCATACATTTCAATTTTGATACACCTAGGTTTTTCTGTTTGGTAGAAATTGTAATTGAGAACTGAATTAGGGAAGCTCTTGATAAATACAAACAGTCAACACGCCGTTATGTGGCTTCTTAAATTGTTAAAGCTCTTTGAAATAAATAAATGTGCGTCAGGAACATCCAGACAGATTTCCAGAAGGCTTTGGAAGGTTTGTCATCAAAATTTTTCAACTTCTCTGTTGGTATATGGAAAAGAAAAAATCTATTTGTAAATAAAATGTTGTTATTATGATTGGAAATGATTGGAATCCAAGTCTGGAAGTCAAACATTTCTAACAGAGAAGAAGCTGTCAAATGAAATTGAGGTGGCAGGCAGAAAAGCAAGGACACATTTCATATAGAACACAGCTGATATCAGAGATGTCACAGGATGTTGTTGACACTGACATGTAAAATAAGTGTACTGAAACTTTCATTTTAGCAGATTGAAATCATTAGACAAATGATTGGATGAGAATCCATCAGAGGTTATTAAACATAAAGATACCACTTGTGGCTGAGGAAGCCAACAAAGCTGCAAATTGCGAGACTAGAAGAGTGTAGGAGGGAAGTATTTCTTTCTGTTTTCCATTTTCTTTACTCCTTCCTGAACACTTGCTATTGGCTGAAAGCAATGTGTGATGCAGCACAGTTATTTTATGATACGGAAATATTTACAGCGCTTTGTCTCATTTTGTCATAATTTGTTTTCAATCCTCCAAACACGCTTTCTTTGACTCTGTTTTCTTTTTTTTTTCTTATTGATTCCCCAGAGCGCCAAGCAACTTCTGAAGAGCTTTCCTCTGCTGTCCTGTTAATATGATGTGTCTTCATGCACTACTAGTCTGCAAAAATAGGAGCCATTAGGAATTTTTAGCACTTTGAGGTAAGACTTCTTCACACGGCTCTTTGTGAAATGCATTGTATTATTGTGTTAGCTGGCTGTATGAACATCTAGACACACAGAGTATGATCTTCACAAATATAAACAGATCCAGGAATATTGTTTACTACTGAAAGACACTTCTGTAAATATTTTCTCTAATTACAGCTGGGTACCAAATTATTTTTTTTACCTTGTTCAGAACTTCTTTTGACCCAAACTGAGACAAAAACACTAAGTTTAGAACTTAATCATGGAATGGAAATTCTGTTTGAATTTCAAGTTCTATGACAGAAATGCCAAAATGACATGTTTCATTGCTATTTCCCCTGAACAGGAAATACTCTAATTGTCATTTTTAGTTAAATTTTCTCATCTCAGCCAGGAAAGCAAAGGAGAAATTTAATCTGTATTTTTTTTAATTTGTTTGTTTATTTTTCCACTCAGCCATTTAAAATAAATTAGTTCCCTTTCACAAGAGCATTACCAAAGCCAGGACCTCATCATCTAGATAGAATTTTTAAAGGATATTTGTTTCACCCAGCAAAGATTCCTTCTGGTCTTATTTTCTTTGCATTTAGCTCTCAATCCTGAGAGGTGCCATCATCCTCTGCTGTGTTACATAAGCAGTGAAAGACTGTAACAACCTGTTTTTGTCCATATTCTCATGTTCTTAGTACAAATTAAATGGACGGCCACATCTTCCAGTCTCTTTGCAAACTCCAGCACAGGTCTCTGTAAAACAAATCTGGAGACAAATAAATCACAGGCTTGCAACCTCCTGTTTTATTCTACAGCTAGGATTAGTGGGTTAAAGGGAGAATGAGTTTCCTGTCTTTGGTGAGGGAAGCAGTGACTTGTATCAATATTGTGTCTGAAGTACTGAAATCCATTCAAAAAAGAAGCAAGGCATGTGAAAATGGTTTAATGAGTAACAGATACCTGATGTAATCAGTTACCATTAACAGAGACTGAGACACTCATGAAAAATGCCCAGATTATATTTTGGATATAAAGACATCTTTTCTTGCCAAATTGTACCTCATTGACTTATTTCACTGCTGAAAACAATAAGCAGACCTGGAGAGACAAAAAGTTGGAGTCTGCTTAAAGATTGCACAGAGGACCTACGTGTCGTTTATTTTCCTGTTCACCTCAGGAGGCTGCCTGTCCTCAAGAGAGTGGCAGCAGCAGAGCCTGGAAATGTTCATCTAATTTGGCTATAACTTTAATGAAGTTACAGGCATTGTCCCTCTGGAATGCTGATGCTGCCTCCTTGGGGAATACACTCCAAACTTTAAATGCAGTGCAGGAATGTAGTGTATATTGCAGCAAGCAATAAAAGCTGAAACAAAATCAGATTACATGTCATAACTGCATTCTTTTTTGATGTTAGTTTTTAAAATGTGTGTTCCTATTTTTAGAGTGTTATTTGGAAACCTGTAATAGCAACCATTCCATTTTGGTATAAGGCCTTTTCTATTAAAAGTGATCAAAGTGAAATATTTCATTTGAGTTAGAAAAAGAGACACTTGAGATAAATGAGGTTCTGCTGTATTTGGAGAGCTGGGTGTTTCTGATGTATGATCTGACTTACAGGGTTAGGAAATAAATTGCATAAAGCAGTTAATCTACAAACAGATAATAAAAAGCATTATCATTAAAAGTTTGGAAAACAATTTTGAAAGTCAAATGCATTCTAAACACATACTCTGAGTGTTAGTCATAACTCTTAGGATGTTTGATTGAAAAACTGAACTGATACATTATTTACTTGAAAGCAAATTAAGATCTCTGACAATTATAAAATTCATTATAAAATTATAAAAACACAAGGCTGCTTTAGTTAAATGAGAAAAAGCTCAGTCTTCTTTGGTAGAAGGCAGGCTGGCCATCTGCCTTTAGGCTAGGAATGAACCCTGGATGTTCTTAAGGCATTACCAAATGAGCACAAAACTTGCTTTTGATTGAGAAAAAACCTCTCTTAAAGACCGCATTTCCTTACGCAGGTTAGCCTGGCTCTTCCTTTGACCACTGCTGCTGATTGGAAGCATTCTTTCTATTAGTCTTATTTGTTCAGCGTTGCCATGTATCAAAAGTGTAAAGAATGAACAAAGGAGGTAAATTGCAACCTATGAATACAGTGCCCAGTAGAGCTTGTCCTCTGTAATTTGGTAGTATTCAAATGGTAGCTAATGTAATATGTTCAGAGGTGTCTTTTTAAGATAATTTTATTAAAGCACTGTCATTATCTTGAGCCTGATACTTGATAGTTCACATATATTAGTACATGTAAATTTAAAAGAAAGTTCCATCATACTTTCAAACAAGTTCTAAACTGTCAGGTTTTAAACATAGAACTTATTAGTCTTTTGTCCCACGGGCACCTGCAGGTAAGCTGTTCAAGACACTTCTCCATGGGGAATTGGAGTCTAGGACAAGTGTAGCAAATGTCTCTCTGATGGACAGAAATATATATCATGTCCTTTTCTTGTCAGCCCTCATAATTTCCAGAGCAAGCTTTTGCATTGATGTTGTGAGGCTTTGAAACAGCTTGCAGGTAGAGAATGGTCACGCACAGGCTTAAATTTAGTTCGTGAGTAACTTTAACATTAAATCATGTTAATTAACATTAATATGACTTACATGGCTTAAGACTATATTTGGGTTTAACACAGCTCTAGGAATAATTTAAAAGATGAGCTATTACTCCCATTGGGAACTTGACTTCAAATCACTAAAGGCAGTGGGTGTCCTTGAACTAGCTAAGAAGGCTTTGAATCACAAGGTGATTTCATATAAGATTTCCTGGCAATTCCTCTGCTGTTCATTCTGCTTTGTGACGACTCCTTTATGCTGGGCTGTATATCAGTGCATGCAGAGCAAACCCCTTAACATCCCTTCTGCTGTTCTGGACCACGAAGCAATGAGCCATGCGTTTTTCAGACGATCGTATGAAGATTCAATCTATTTTTAGGTCAATCTTGTTGCCACGAATAACACTAATTTATGGGACTTTTGATTTGAATGGTGGGTTATGTGATGATGTAAATGTCTATAATGGAAATTCAAAAATACTTGTTACTGATTTAACAGATTAGCACCAGTTAATCTGCTAAGTGCAGTTGCAATTAGAAGCAGCTTCTTATTTCCTATTTATTTTGTTTTTGACTGATGTCATTGGGAACCTCTAGGCATACATCACCACTTTGGATTCAAAGGCCCAGATGAGAATAAGATTTATTTGTCTGCTTTTAATACTTGAACTGAAACATGATGAAGAGATGACACTTGATGAAGTTTATGCAATCTATTTCCAGCTTCGACACAACTATTGTTATTTCATGTGTAATGTTTTGTATAATGTGACCCAGTACTTTGACCTCCATCATTCTAAATAATCTTCCATCTGAAAGTTGAAAAACGAATTGATTTTTCCTTCAGTCACGTAATAAGCACGTGTCTCAGATCTAGCTTACTGCATTGGCTCATGTTAAACCACATTTAAATAAATCAAAGGAGCATTTGGATATTCTCCCATTTGCCTATAAGCTGATGGGAGAACAGATTGTTTTAACACCTCAGATATTTATTTTGTCAGTACAGATAGACAGCCATAAAGAACATCAGTATCAGAGAGGTTCTTCGGAAGAGCTGTCGGTGCTATCACTCTTTGGGTAGCTCAATCATCAAGTCACATAGTATCTGGATTTGCACAAAAGCAAGAATGAAATCACCTAGAAAGATGTTTTCTCAATATTCTCTCTAATGACCATACTTTCTTTTCTTTATCTAGGTACAACAATGATGGCTCAATTGCTTTTCTGGTGGATTCTAAAAGGGCTTTTTCTGTCTTTTCTGCTCAAAACTGCTCTGTCCCTAAACCCAGATGATCCGAATGTTTGTAGTCATTGGGAAAGGTAATCTAAAACATGGCAGTGTTTTGTTTGACTGGGCATTTCAGATATGTACATTTAAAAGTCAAAATAAGAGCTAAATACTTCTCTGCCTCATAGAAGAATGTGGGTCTGTGTGACAGAAACAGCAATGCTGAGTTGCTTTGTGGATTTCCACCATCCTGAAGGAACAGGTTCCATACCTAGGGTAAATCCTTGTATTGCCTATCTGCTTGGCTGTGCTTTCCTCCTCCATAGCTTCAGCTGCAGGACTGCACTAACCTTTTTTTCATGTATCTTGAAGAGACCCAGTGAAATGGTGACCTTGTTCTGTCTTGCCTCTTTTCTGGTTGTTGCTGAGCAAAGCTATTACAGACTTTGTCTAAGTTTTAAGCCCTTCCTGTTGCAACATGCAGGCTTATACAGTATGTCCTGAACTTTGTGACTTTATCTGCCAAATTCATGCCAGTATCAAAGAGCACCTTCATGAAAGCTCCAAGAATTAAAGGCTCTGGTAATTCTGTTCTATTGTTAGTGTCCTTGTCCTAAAAGTGGATCTGTGCAGGACAGTTCTTACACGTACTCAGAAACCCTCTAGCTTTGATAGGGTTCACGTTCATGCAGGGTCTGTTTGAAGAGGCTGAAGTTGCTGTGCTCTTAAGTTCAATTTGCTTTATTTTCTATTCTGTTCTGTGGTTTAGTTCCATGTAGATATGAATTACTGTACATTTTGGCAAAATGAACCCCTTAACGAGCAAAAATGGAAGCATACTTTAATGGCTCTATGTTTCGATTTTAGAAGCCTTCACTAGAGAATTAACTGTTTGTAGGTAATGGAGCTGCAAAGCAAAGGCTATGCATGTTGAGGGATAGGATTGTGCAGTCTGTATTGTGAGGTGAAGTGCATTCAGAGCACAGGAATAAAATATTGATTTTGTCTGAAGAAAGTCAGCAACCTGGAGACCCAATCAAGGAGAAACAAAAATTAAATACCAAAATTGATTGGTTGTACTGACCAAGATGACTTTGTTACTTAGATGTTAATAAATCAGAGGGAAAAGATTGTTAGAGCAATAGTGGGATAACAAAGAAAGGATCATAAAGTAATGATCAAGAATGTCTTACATTAATAACAAACAATATAAATATTTTACATTTTGGCGTTAGTATTTGTAAAAAGCCCTGCTGTCAAAACCAACAAATTGTGACAAAGGACAGAAGCAGCATCTAGTTCAATCTTGGCTTGCCTAGAAAGGGACTGACAAGCAGGGCAGTAAGAGCCCAGTCGTTGATTTCAAGCCAGTGAGACCCAACAAGCACATACTCCGGTGTTCCCTTTAGGGTGCAGTCTCATGGGCTGAATCACACCAGCAGTCCCATCGATGGGAAGGAAATTGCTTGGATGATTAAGGCAATCAATACAATGAATGACTTGGAGGGTCTGATTCTTGGGTCTCGACCCTGCCTAGAAAGATTCTAGTGTGATTCTCTAAGATAAAGCAGAGCTTGTTTTCAGATAGGAACCTGAGATTTTGCATCTCTTCAGCAGTATACGCATTTACTGTAGAGCAATACAATATTCTGTGTTGGTTAGATCTGCGTTCCCAAGTCATGTGTCTGTCCCGGAAACTTGAACTGTATTCATAGTAATTAATGCAGTACCTGCTTCATAAATCTGCTATGCTTGGGGAAGGAGATTGCTGAATTCTTCGTATTGTTGGAGCTCTGGGATTCCTTATCACTTTGCTCAGTTTTTGCTAATGTCTTTTCATTTGTACAATCATGCATAATCACATATCTCTAAGAGTTCTAAATCTAGATACCAGTTAACTCATGATCGCACAGTCTTCAGTTAGTTCTGAACTTCTATTACAGATTAAAAAGATTAAATTTATGCATTTCAAAGGCCCTTGAGCCTCTTACAAATCATCCAATTTGACTGGTGCAACCAGCATTTGAAGTAATGAGTCTCCATAAAAAAAAGAAGTGAAAGGGTCCCATCATGCTGGTAAAACACAGCAGTGTTTTGTTAATATGAGCTCTTATTACCATTGTTTAAAACAAGCAAAAATTAACAATCCTAGACTGGTATGCAACTGAGACATTTTAAAAGCACGATGCTTTTCTCTTTTAGAATACGTACTGCCTAGTTAACCAAATGCCCTTTTCATCTTTTAAAACAAATGTGAAGTTTAATAACATTTGCTTCTTTTCCAGAAGGGAGAGGTTTATGACTCAGGCTGAAATCTCTATGCCTAGTTCAGTTACAGAGCCCAAGTTAGAAGCGTTTCCAAAACTTTAAGTAAGAGCTGTGGTTTAAGGAAACCCTTTTCCAGTTCTGGATAAGGCCTGAAATTTCTAAGACCATTGATTTAATTATTTCTCATACTGGAATTAGATGAGCAGCATATTCAGGGAGCTGAAGCTTTTCATGTTGCAGTGAACAGTCTTTCACTTTCTTTCTTTGCTTCTAGCTATGCTGTGACAGTACAGGAATCCTATGCTCATCCTTTTGATCAGATCTATTATACAAGATGTACTGACATACTGAACTGGTTCAAGTGCACTAGACACAGGTAAGAGCTGATCCCCAGATATTTTAATTTTGGCTTTTCATCTTTTCATGTAGCTTCTTGTTTTCTCAAGCTGTGATGGCATTCTAGTAGAGATATGTGCTGAAAGATGTATTTTGGTGCATTAACCAGGCTTTTTGGCATTCCACAACATTGTTTGAGGTAGAGAGATTTTTGCATGTCTAATCACACAGTGTGGTCCATGAGCACAATAATGGTATGTGTCGTTCTCAGGCTTCATTGCTAATGCTGTGAGTAACTCTAGAAAAGCTACAGAAAGCTTTACTCCTTTCAGTATCTGTTCATTGCAGATTCTGTTAGGGAAAGCGTGCTTTAAGTACTGAATTGAGATTACAGTGTCTTTTTTCAGGGCACTAAGGCCTTGGAAGGGTTAGAAAGTAAAAAAAAAAAATAAAATAAAAAAATCATTATTTTGGGGTTAAATTCATGTTTTGTGTAATCAAGAGCAGTTTTCGTTGTGGTTATTTCTTAGGTAGCATGCTGACTTGGTGGTCTCCATAGAAAATTCTGTTTACTCCAACCTGGGCAGTTCTATGATTTCATGATGATAGCTGACCTTGCTCATACACAGAAATGAATTGTTTATTGTTAAAGAAACTCCTTGCCCATAATTTGGCACAGGCACAGTGTTTTAAGATAGCAGTCCTAGGAAAGGCTGCAGTGATTGACTGTTGTGAGCACTGTGTTTATAACACAACTTATATTTCAAGTTTCAAAACAAGTATTGATCTTTTTTTTTTTTATTGTGGCTTTTAATATTGAAAGCTCTCATGCATTTTAAAATAATTATTGAATGCTATCCTTAGTATAATTTAACACAAATATAATTCCAACAGTGAGCATTGATTTTCAATATTGTCCAATGGCTTTCTGTCTCACAATTTAGAATAAGTTATAAAACGGCGTATCGCAGAGGACTCAGAACGATGTACCGGCGCAGATCTCAGTGCTGTCCTGGATATTATGAAAGTGGAGACTACTGCATCCGTATGTACATAGATTTGATCCAGATGTGTCAGTTAGAAGGAGTGTTCTGGAGGGAACGTGGACAACTTAAAGATGTATTGCAGTAGTTATTCTGGGGACTGACTGTCCGAGCTGCTCAGAACTTTCAGGTCTCACTGGTTTCAGTCAGAACTGCAGGTAGAGAACATTTCCACTGTGTGCATTTCAAGCACCTTAGTAACGTTTTTGGCTGAAATCACTGGGGATGGAGTTAATCAAGTTCCTGAGTGCTTTCCTGATTCAGACCTTACTTTGGGGAGTCATTTATCTAAGTATGCACTAATGTTAAAGGATTAGTGGAACTGAGAGCACTCTCAGGAATGAACTGCTGCATAGTTTAAGAGGCATAAAGTTAGCACTTCTTAACTTTCAAAGTTCTTTAGCTAAGAGCAGTTAAAACTCACGGTGCTTCATATGGTTGCTGAGAATGATTCTACTCTGTAGAAAATTTCATAAAAATCAGAAAAGCATTGTTCTGATTACACTGCAGAAGTAAACAAAAACCTTGGAGTCTGTTAGGTCAGTATGAGAGTGACAAAAGGGAAATGGATCTTTGTTAATTAAAAATGTTGTGTCCATTAAGGGTGTGTTTGGAGGGGATCTCTTGTCTCCATCTTGTTAAAATGGGATTATGATGGTGCAAGAAAAGGGCAAGTTTTTGTTAAGTATCAGAATGCAAGTTCTGTAGACAGATTTAAGCAGATTGCCACGAAAGTAATGCCTCCTATTTATTTCCATGGAAACTACAGCAGGTACCTATATTGCACTTGTAGTATTTAAGCACCTCAAAAACATGAACAGGCCCTAATGTCATTTGGAATTACCATTATGGCAATCAATTAAGGAAAAGGGGCATTGAATTGCGCAAAATTACCAGTTCTTGGTAATTCATAAGGCATCAGAATTACTGTTATTTCGCAGACAGAGGAATAATTCGATCTTTCGAAATGCAGAGCACTGTGACTCAACTCCTATAAAACACTGAAAGGAGCCCAAGGCCTTTGCTAAAATCCCCCCTCTGCTAAATATGCACTTACCTTTAAATTTCCCAGGTGTCTGTATCATTTCAGCAGCTATTGCACATACTATTATTGCCAACTTTAACCTTGAGTCTCAATATCCTACCTGGCACAGATCATATTTATTTTTTACTTTTCTCTCTGCAATCTATTGATCTATTTGTTTCTAATTGCCGTACTGTCTGCAACAAGGGTAAAACTCTATAGACTTTCTGAGAAGGCTCGCAGGATATTAAAAATTATTTTAAAATGTTCTTTTTCCTCAGGAATAGTACTGAGAGAGTTCTCTTACTGCTGTTGCCTGGCATACGGTGTACACCAAAGGTTTGCTAATGCAGAACAGAGAGTAGTTTTCTGATCAGACCAGGAATTTTGTGTTTGAGTGCAGACAACGCCTACATTCTCTCTGTTATCACATGTGCAGGAGTCAGGTTCTTAAATTTCATTATCTTCATGTTTATACAGACAGAGTTCGTGTCAGGGACATTCTCTATTTGTTCTCCTTCCTGGAAGATCTGATCAGTGTGTGCAGCTGAGAAGGAAATGAAAGAAGTTCTCCATCCTGATTGCTAGTAGATACTTGGTGTTGTTGTTTTAATACTACAAGAAGCCACAGTAACAAAAAAAAAAAGCCCTGAAGACACTCTGGCCCCACAGCCAGCAGTTTGAAGGCACAACAGTGTTTAGCAGAAGCGATCTTCCCTTTTCCCATCTCGTCCCTTTCTTTCAGGCACATCATATGCTCGTCCCATTAGTTTTGTATCTTTTTTCATGATGTGTTCCTGCCCCAACAAGGAAATTCTCCCATTCCTCATTCTTTGCAGTCAATAGTTAATTTCATTTTCGTTCCTTGTGGCACCTCTCTGCTTTTGCCTCTTTCCTTAATTTCCCTTTCCCTTTTCTTTCTTTAAACTGGTATTTTTTTGTGCTTTCTTGATAAGGAAATCTAGTACCCTTGTCCCACGTTACTCTAGACACGGTCAGTGCTTGGTCTTTTGATGGCAGCTGTGCAGGAGAGAGGTCAGGAGACATTATCAGAATCTTCCCAGTTGGCTGTCCAGTTATGGGGCAACGTGGTTTGGAGATGAAAGTACTTCCAGTAAGCCCCACTGACACAAGCAAAAGGAACCTTCAGCCCTGCAGAGAAAGTTCTCCTTGCTCAGTCAGCCCTTTAAAATCTATTCCATTAGCAATCGTGGAAGCCACTACAACATGAGGAAGAGAGTACATCCCGCAGTGAGTCTGATGATCAAAAGAAAGTTTTGATTAAAAAACAGTGTGTAGATTAGAGGCTAATTGGTTCTTCTTTCATTAATATCGGCCCTTATTTCTTGCAGAAGTTAAATAGCTTTGTAATTAACAATGACATGTTTAGACTATTGAAGGCTGGGTTTAAATCTCTATTAATGTCTCCTCCTTGGGTTTTAAAGCAGGCTTGTAGCTACAGTTTTGATCTGTTCCTTTCTCATTTACTGTTTTTGAAAAGAATGTCAGTGATACGGTGTTTTTTTTTTTCTGTGTCCTCCAGTTGGGACTTTCTTAATGGATTAGGTCTAATGCAAGTTAGATCAGATACAAAGAAGAAATTATTCACTCTGAGAAGTAGCGAGGCAGGGGTGCAGGCTGCCCAGAGAAGCTGTTGAATGCTTCATCCCTGGAAGTGTTCAGGACCAGGTTGGATGTGGCCTTGATGTAGCGAGAGGTGTGCCTGCCCTTTGCAAGAGGGCTGGACTAGCTGATCCCTAAAGGCTTCTTCCAACCCAGCCCGTTCAGGTTAACCGATTCTGCCCTTCTTACTTCTTGCTTTACCATTCTTTCCTTGGTGGCTTTCCCTTTTTTTTTATATCTTCATATGCTACCACTTCCAAAAATGTGGAATTTGGGCAAAAGATGAAATCATTAAAATTTTTGAGGGATATGCTATACATCTAGCCTGAGCTACTCAGTCTAAAAAATTTTGCTGTATGAAGTTGTCTTCTTTGTGCCTACGAAAGGCTTGGAATAATTTTGTATTGTAATGGTATTCAAAAAATATCACCTGAAGAATACTAAAAACACCCATCTGCATTTTTCCATCAATATCTTAGGCATGCTTGCCACCATTCTGATAGTTTTGCAGAACAATTCCATATCTGTGAATGTGCTTGTATGTGACGCAGCTTCTCACTGAACTGTCCCTGAAAACAAACAGCACACGCTGGGCAATAAATCAGAGTAACCCTGATTTACTATACTTTGTTTGCTAAAGTAAGCTTTTGGCAGAGCAAATGCATAAACTGCAGAAAATCTTTTTTAAAACAACCTCAGAGTTCAACTACCCTTCAAGGTTTTTGCACAGATATTTTAAGATTATATTGTCTCAATTAGTATCTGTGATATAACATCTCTAAATACTTTCCTGCTCAAAGAATGAAAACAAAAGCCACAAGAAAGCACTGCAGGAACATCACATGGCTCTTTCATGATTTTGCTCTCTGAGTGGATCATAACTGACTACTTCCCTTTAAGAATATGTCATGTGGAAAGATCCCCTCTGTACTAAATGGATGTCTTTTTGTCTGAGAGACCAGTGCTTTTTTCAGCCTATCCAGTTTAATCTTATTCTTGCTCTGCAGATTATATAAAAGAGAAGTTTATGCTAGGTAACAAAGGGTCAGAGACCTGTGAATCGGGAAGAAGGAAAAAAAGCATCTGCTTTTCTCTGATTTTTTTGACAGGAAAGAAAAAAAGCAACTACCAAATTGAAAGTGGAGAATTTACCTTTTTTTTATAGATTGATACATTTTCATCTTTAAGAGTTTTATTTGTCGTTCTCAGGCCTTACTCTTTCCTTGTAGTATATAAATCTACAGGATGTGACAGGATTTAATAAAGACGAGATTAGTGATTTAACAATCTTATTTGCTGTCATTTACCCGTCATTCAAAGCTGACAGTATTCAGCAGAGTTATAAATTGACCATTTCGTGGTTCTTTCCTTTCTTGACCAAGGTCTTATTGATCTCAGATTGTTTCTCAACACTCAGGTTTCCACGTTACAATTGCCACAGCCATCATTAAGGGCTTTTTGACTTTGACAAATCTTTGTGTAGAGAAATGCTTGGTCTCAGTGGTTGAATCTTAATTTCTCACCTACTGTGGTAGTTCACCCAGACCAGAGGTTTGAGGATGCTGTCAGGTTTGCATGTGGTTGTTTGTCCATCTTTCCAGCTAACTTGTACCTGACGCCTTTCATAAATGTCAAAAACAAATGAAGAGTTTGTTTTAATATCTGATTGGTGAAATTATGCAAATATCAGACCTGATTCCTTTGAAATAACATTTCATAAGTTCTGTCTGCAGGTACAGCGTGTGCTTTATATCACAGCAATGCCAACGTTCGCATTCGCTCAGGACTCAAATCATATTTACAAGGTTGCACGCCTAGTGTAGTTTTTGTGATCTCTGAAAAGGCTGCCTTGTTGGAGCCATATGGCTGCACTGTTAAACATCTGTACCATAGAAGTAACAATTCCAAAGCTTCCTGCCATCTGGATGAATTACAATACTTGCAATTCAATGCATATGCTGCAGCAACACACCGACGCTGCAGTCAAGTGTACTTATGATGAAAAGACAAATAATAGCTTATGTGAGCAGTGCAAAAGTTGTGCACTCGTAGCAAATGTTGAATCAGCATCTTAAACTTCCTGAATATTCATAATGTTTGTGCATATCTCAGATTTGTTGGTTAGTATCACTTTATGAGGCAGTAGCTCATTAACATTTTGGAAGAAATGTCCACCCCCGCTCCTCTCCTTCTCACCTCTCCTTTAAATTCCTTTTGGCCAGCATTCCTGTAACGTGAAAATTTATTATTTGAAATCTGCTGGACTTAGGAAATATATTTTTCTTATCTTTACAGACACACATTAAAGCTGGTGCTTGTGCTTCCTGCAAAAGCCTTACTGTTACATTATTCAAG